AATAAGGAAAGCTAGAAACACAAATTCAGAGTGTCCTTTTGACAAGACCTAAATTCATAATTCAGCAGATTTGCTTACCTAATAAAATTTTAATACTATTATTGTTATCATTGCCCTAAATATACACTGAACAAGATTGGTCTTGGGGGATTTGGAGAATGATCCTGAAAGAAAAATAAAACAGGATATGGTATTTTAGCTATTAGACAAACAATTATACCAGAAAGTAGAGACAGAGATTCATTTCAATGAAAAACATATTTGACCTCAGCATCTCAACATAAAGACATTTTTAAATACACCACTATAAAATGTAAAAAAGAGTATTAATAACTACCCAAAATAAACCTACCACTATAAAATGTAAAAAAGAGTATTAATAATTACCCAAAATAAACCTACAAGTAGGTTCCTTATAAGCTCTAAAATTCCATTCTAAAAATTAATTTTATTTTTTGAGAAAGTGTAATTTCAGCCTATGAATAGCTGTTTTAAGTTTGTCAGACTTCCTCATATTCTACAAATATAAATGCAAAACGTATGTCATAAATTGCTCCAGGTTTGTCTGCAATATCTCTTACCATCTTTTGCAAGGCCATTCAGATGATGCAGAATGCAGAATAGAAAGAGGTAAAAATGAGGAGAAAATCGGATTCAAAAACCTTCTTAAATGTTTTAAATAATACCATTTTCATTAGATAATTAAGTGATATAAATACATTTTAAAACCAAGAAATGAAGTAATATGCCCAATTTACCTGAGTCTGTTAAGCTGTTTATTAAAAGCTGAAAATAATTCTGATTGTTTTCTACTATAGCAAACAGCATTAATTTTTATATTGTCTGGAAAGGGAAAGAGTACATGGGTGTCATCTGAGACAAGAATTATGCAGCTATCCAAATGTCCAGAGGCATTTTCCTTTCCAAGTGTTCACATTATATTTTTAGTGTCTCAATCACAAATGATCACTGACAGTTTCCATTCAGCCTCACTTAGGAAAATCACTAGAGAAAATTGAAAGAGCCAGAAGAAAATAGCTACCTGTTTTAGGGGTCTAGAAGAAAGCTATGAAAACTGGGTGCTAATCAAATTCTAGTGGTTCCCTTAATTATTTATTTATCCTTACTTTAAAAGTTTATATATGTTTTAAATACCTTCAAAATTCTTCTGGGATGAAAACGTCAATCCATGATGATGCCTTTTGTTTAATTCAATATGTTATAAACTTATTGAGGATGTATGACCCAGGCAGAGTTGATACATGGATAGAAAAAACACTGGGCAAGAAGTGCATAGCACGTTATCACAAGAAAATTTCAGGCCATGTAGAATGATTTAATTTGGTCCTTTCAGTCCAAATAATCAATTGTTGTAGAATAATGTAAGTTCACCAAGAAAACGTAGAATATAGAAGAGAAATTCCTGCTACTGTTAGTGTCAAGATGCCACTGAATCTACTCAACTCTGTCAAATATATTCCTTGAACTATGTCACATAAGCAGGTTTATTTCCACCTCAATTTTATTTTAAAATGCCATACTTCAAAAAGATACATCAATTAAGAAAATCTTGAGAAGGAAGAAGTTCTAAAGCCTGCTTTGTAATCATTCCTAATAAAGAATTATGCAAATCAGAATAGAAAACATTCCTGCTTTGAGTCACATAAATGACCACATTTCATGAAAACTAAGGGGCCAGTCAATGAATAAAAGATGCACGACGCCATGTCCTATGTACCAGTAAGAGAGAAAAAACAAAATGCTGCTAACAAAAAAAATGACGAACCTTATACTGTCAGATTAAACCCTGATTTCAGAGATGTTAAAAGTATACTTAGAATTGATGAAATATGATAGTTTATTTTTGTTTGCTCACCTTCCTCATAGAAAACATCTAAAAGTCAACCCAATGGAAATTCACGAGTTAATTTATTCAAGGATTTAAACTCAACCTGGTTCCATGAATTAGAAAACTATTAAGAAATGACTACTACTTTACCTATAAAATCCCACAGAAAAGACTATTGTTAAGTATAATCACAACTGTGTTATTATCTACAAATTTAAGTATAAGCCTAAATAGCTAAATGAAACAGGGAGATTGATTTTGGTTGACTAAAATATTAAATGATAAAGATGGCTTAAGATGGTGGGCCTATTATCAGATTCAGTTGGTGCTAAGAAGCAGCTGGGGTTTCACCAAGGAACTAAAGCAGTTAATTTTATAATTAGGGGGAAGAAGATTGTTGATTCAGTCATTGTAGCTGATTTTTGTCAACTAGTTACCTTATTTTAAAAGCTATGCTTTCCAGTACTACATCATTTAATCGGTAGAAATAATGTTTGATATTTTAAATTGTAACTTTCTTTACTCCAATCAATTCTTCAGTCTCCCAAAATTAAAGGCTCTGCCATTATCTGCGGTTTTATTTTGGTGTGGTTTGTTCCTCACTTTAGAGACAACGAAAGAGCCTTTGGAGACTCTCGAAATGACTCATTGTAAGATTATAACATAGTTAATAGTTACATTTATCAATGTAAGATTAATTTAAAAATTAAATTAAAACCACAAGTTTCACTTCTTTTCTAAGCTTAAGATATAATCAGTATTCAGTAATTAAAAACATCACAAATTTACTAAAGCCCTGTGAAATGCAAGGTACTTAACTCATAGCTAAGAACCATAAAGTAAAGAAAACACTACTCCTATCCTCAAGAAGACCAAATTTATGGACTGGTGAACAACCATTCAGACAGCATGACATATCATTCATTTTGATTATTTGGCTTCTAACAAATCACAATTATGCAGGAAAATAAATCGGTTCCTTTGTTTTCTTTCTGGATAGAATAGGAAATAGGCAAGAAAGTATAAGAATTCAGTTTAGTTTTACAACATAAATCCAGAAGAAGCAGTCAGTTTAGTTTTACAACATAAATCCAGAAGAAGCAGTGCGATCTTTGTAGGAGAGGCTTCAAGGATGTTAAACATGATGAAGAATGTCCACAAACCAACCCACATATGACACTCAAAGTCTCAAGGAATTAAGATAGAAAGTGCTGAAAATCACTTTCATCAGATAGTGAGAAGAATGTTGTAAACACTAGGAGACTCAAGTACATGAGATTCATATGCCAAGATCACTATTAGTTCTGAAAATTCACTTAAGTTAGTCAAGTCTTTGTTGCTACTATTAAAAGGCAACAATGAAATGAAATAGCATATCATTTGAAATTGCAAAAGCAATTTGTAAATATAACAAATATAAGGTGCCATCATTGAATGAGTAAAAATACTTGTCAATAAATAAATCTACAAAGTCCTCAGAAGAGAGGGTATATAATTTGTTTCTTTCTTCATGTTTTTCCTTAAAAATCGAGTGGTAGAGCTATGGTAAACAGAACAATGTCCTCCAAAGATGCCCATGTGCAAATCCCTGGAACCTGTGGACACGTAACCTTACATGGCAAAAGAGACTGTGCAGATGCGATTATGTTAAGGTTCTTGAGTTAGGGAAATCTTCACATAGTCTTTGGTGGGCCCACAAGAATCCTTAAAAGTCAAAGAGGGAAGCAGAAGAGTCAGAGTCAAAGATGATGAACGGAGAGGTCAAACTGATGTGACTGCTGGCTTTGAAAGCAGAAAGACCCGAGAAGCCAAAGAATGCAGGCAGCTGCTAGAAGCTAGAAAAGGAAAGAAAATGAGTTCTTAATGAGAGCCTCCAGAAAATCATGCAGCCCTACCAATACCTTGATTTTAGCCCGGTGAGACCTATGTCAGACTTCTGACTTCCAGAAGAGTAAAATAATAAATTCGTGTTGTTTAAGCCACTAAGTATGTGATAATTCGTTACAGCAGCCATAGGAAACTAGTAACACAAGCCACAGGAGAGCCCACAGTTAGTTGGATTCTAGCCCAGGGGGTTATCACCACAAGACTGGGTGACTTTAAGTCAGTCTCTACTTAAAATAAAGAACAAAAGTGATTCCCCAGGTCTCTTCCATTTCAAAAATACTATAATTAAATATACTATCTTCTTTCTTTCTCTTTTTCTGTCTTTCCTACCTTTTCCCCTTTTTGGAAAAAAAAAGAGTTATTTCCTCTCTGTTGCATTTTATGCTTCAGGAAGAAGGTAATTCCTTGTGCTAGCTGACCTGGTAGCAACCACCAAGGGATAATGAGACTCGCTTACCCTGACAAGCCATGTCAGCTGCTATACTTCACTGACAATAAGAAGGGAACTTCTGTTGCCTGCTCTAATTTCCCCTAAATTCTATCTTGCAGGTCTCAAAATACACAGGCAGAAGTTATATAGGAATCCAATATGAACTCAAGATCTCTAGAGAGTAGTTTCCTGGGCAATTATATGCAAAAAGGTCCTCATCAGGAGGATTCCTTTAAAGGTCATCCTCAGCTCCAAGATTCAAAAAAATGTGATTTGTCATGCCCGATTATAAACTAGAGAATTTTTATAAGAATCCGTGGTTCCTCTGGATAAGATCACTAACACATATGACCTTGAATCAAATGGGTCAGCTAAATCACATCCATCAATAGCCAGGAGCTAAACTATGTATTTGTGCTTTCTTCAGCTTTAATTTTTAACAGTTTTAACAGATGTTTCAAACTCCAGAAAGAAATGTACTGGGGGATTAAGATTTTATATCTGTGGACATCAAATTTCATATCAATAATAAAATTTGTGATTATTCAAAAATTGTAAAATAATAAATTGATTTTTCTGCTTTATAAATAGTAAGAAAATATTATATCACCAGACAATACTCACAGCCTTGTGAAAGAAGACTACAAAAGTTCTATTGATAAGATGATCCAGCAATTCCAATCTTAATTACATACCTAAAGAATTGAAAACAGGGGCCGGGCATGGTGGCTCACATCTGTACTCACAGCACTTTGGGAGGACCAGCCTAGTCAACACGATGAAACGCTGTCTCTACCAAAATATAAAAAATTAGCTTGGTATGGTGGCACACACCTGTAATCCCAACTACTCAGGAGACTGAGGCAGAAGAATCACTTGAACCCGGGAGGCGGAGGTTGCAGTGAGCCGAGATTGTGCCACTGCACTCCAGCCTGGGCAGCAAAGCGAGACTCTGTCTAAAAAAAAAAAAAAACAGAATTGGAAACAGGGACTTATACATTAATTTTCAGAGCAGCACTATTCTCAATAGCCAAAAAGTGGAAACAATGCATATGTATATCAAGAGATGAATGAAGAAACAAATCCGGCATGTCTATATGATATAATATTATTCAGCCATAAAAATAAGAAAGCACTGATACATGCTACAACATAAATTAACCTCAAAAACCTGTTGGGTGAAAGAAGCCAGACACAAAAGGTCACATATTATATGATTCCATTTATATGAAATATCTAGAATAAGTAAATCCATGAATACAGAAAGCAGATTCAGGGCTGTCAGAGGCTAGCAAGAGGGAAATGAAGACTCATTTAATACATATGGGGCTTGATGTTGATGTAATGAAAATGTCTTGGAACTAAACAGAGGTGATAGTTGCACAACACTACAAATGTATTAAATGCCACTGAATTATTTGGCATTTTTTTTTCCATTTTATTGAGGGATACTCAACAAAAACAAATTGTATACATTAAGGTATTCACCTTGATATTTTGATATATGTATACATTATCAAATGATTGCCAAAATCAAGTTAAATGACATATTCATCACCGCACATAGTTACCATTTTCTTTGTTTTCTTTTTTGTGGTGAGAGCACTTAAGGTCTACCGTCTTACCACATTCCAAGTATTGTTCATTATAGTTACTTTGCTGTATATTAGATCCCGTCTCCAGAAAGTATTAATCTTACATAATTAAAACCTTGTACCCTTTGAACAATGTCTCCCCAACTCCTCTTTCTCCCCAACCCCGACAAGCACCATTCTACTCTCTTGTTCTATAAGTTTGCCTATTTTAGATCCCACATTATATCTGAAAACAGAGGAGAAAAGTTTCTTGACATTGGTCCTGCCAGGGACTCTTTTGTAATGACACCAAAAGTTCAGACAACAAAAGCAGGAAAAGACAAGTGAGATTACATCAAGCTAAAAGCTTTTACACAGCAAAGGAAATAATCAACAATGTAAAAAAACAAAAACAAAAATCAAAAAACTCTTATGAAATAGGAGAAAATATTTGCAAACCATATAACTAATAGGTGGTTAATGTCCAAAATATATAAGGAACTCATACAATAATGAAAACTGAATAATGAAAAAAAACCCAAATAAAAATGAGCAAAGGATCTGAATAGATATTTCTCTAAAGAAGACATACCAATGGCCAACAGATAATATCAAACATCAATAATTATGGGTGAAATGCAAATCAAAATCACAATGAGATACCACCTCACACTTGTTATATAGCTATTATTAAAAAGACAAAACATATCAAGTGTTGGAGAGGATGTGGAGAAAAGAGGACTCTTGCACACTGTTGGTGGGAACGTAAATCAGCACAGCCATTATGGAAAACAGTATGGAGGTTCCTCATAAAACTATCATACTATCCAGCCATCCCACTTCTGGGCATATATTCAAAGGAAATGAAATCCGGTTCTGGAAAAGCTACCTGCACTCCCATGTTCATTCCAGCATTATTCACAATAGCCAAAATAAGGAAACATATATTGAACTGTACATGTTTAAATGGTCAATTGTATGTTATATGAATTTCACTTAAATTTTAAAACAATGTTCTGTGATTAGAACTATTAATAAATTCCCTTTTAGCCTTGACATTGATAATGTAGCCTTTGGCACGTTATTTAAACTCTCCACTCAGCTTTCAGGGTTAACATGAAGATTAAATAAAATACTATATTTACAGTACCTAACATATAGCAGAGTATTAGGAAAAAGAAACGTCCCTTCTCTGTATTTTTCTCTGTATCACCTATTGGGACTTTAGAACACCAGTTTATAAATATAAATAAGCATGTAACCAAGTATCCCAGCCTCAAAATGCATTTTAAACCTTTTTTACCTTTCCTGCCTTCAGCCTTGAAACATACTTTGAAACTTTGTTTCCTCCTTTCCCACCAAGCATTTCCATGAACAGTGCTCGCTTATGTAATTGTGTGCTTGCTTTAAAATTCCAGGGGCCAATTTTGAAACAAATCAGGCAGAATTATCCTGCTTAGCTGCAGAATCCTGCTGCTTAGGAGGAATTACAGATAACCCACCACTACCGGGCCAAAGTCAAGGTGATGCACTGGACCTTCCAACGGGTGATTAGGAAAGACAGCCATTGGAAAAAAACACAGACCTGCAACCTCCTGCATCACTCTGGCATATTTACCACACCGTTTCCTTCTCTAACTCCTTCACCCAGCCCAAAATACTACGATGGCTTGAGGCAGAAGCCTGGCCATCTCCAATCTGCTAGCATTTGATCAATAAAGTTGCTTTCCTTTCATCATATCTCATTTCTCATGTTTCTGGCCTCTGAATGGCAAGCAGTCAGACTTGAGCTGGTTACAAATAACCAAAAAATGGAAGGAGGAGGAGGAGGTTGTGGAGGCTGCAACATGACATTGCTCTGCAACTTCCTGAAATTTATCCTGATGAAGTAATCAGGCCAGGTGTGGTGGCTCACACCTGTAATCCTCATACTTTGGGAGGCCAAGCGGGGCAGATCACTTGAGGTCAGGAGTTCGAGACCAGTCTGACCAACACAGTGAAACCCTGTCTCTACTAAAAATACAAAAATTAGTTGGGCATGGTGGTGCATGCCTGTAATCCCAGCTACTCAGGAGGCTGAGGCAGGAGAATTGCTTGAATCCAGGAGGCAGAGGATGCAGTGAGCCGAGATCACACCACTGTATTCCAGCCTGGGTGATACAGGAGACTTGGTCTCAAAAAAAGAAAGAAAAAAGAAAAGAAGTAATCAGAAGGCTATCTTTGAAAGTATGCATGTCACACACAGTGTCATAGAAAGTATGTGCATCTCAGTGTTGTCTTGGTATCAGAGAGAAAATGTGAAAACCAAGTATCCACCAATAAGACATCGGTTAAGTAAATAAATGAAGACTTATCAATCAATTCAATATACTGCTGCACAGCCACTATAATCATGATACAGGTTTCTATTAAATGACTACATTGATAGATGTCTATGTCATATTGTGAAAGGGGAGTTGAAGCCAGTTTCTAAATTGTATATATCACATGATCCTTCTTATATAGCATACAAACACACAGAAAAAACTATGATATGCACACAAAACAAACATCTTTAAATGCTGGCATTAAGGATAACATTCATAATACCTTCAGAAAAAGAAAAGACAATAAGCCATCTATTTTGGAAAAACTATGTAATGAAGAAATTTTAATATCTGTCTCATTATTATACAATAAAATTAGTTGACTTGTATAAGTAATATCATTTATATGTGCAGCCCTCTATAACTGTTGTATAAGATTTCATACAGAACTATTCCTTTACAAGGTACAACTTTCCTTTGTAAAACATAAATACACTATTTATTAGCTGTGTAGCTTCTAAAAATTCATTAACCTCTGCACATCAAAATTGTGAGAATCTGAGTTATATGATTGGTACAAGAATATCAGTCTGTCACTATGTATAAGAGAAAAAAAATCAAGGTCAGGATTTTTGAGTCCTTAGACCTAGAAAATCCTAGTAAAATCCTCAAAAAACAATACAAGTCCTCAAAAAAAGGCAAAATCCTAAAGAAAGTGGGGTTTTTTTGTTTTGCCTTGTTTTGATGATTTTTGTTTGTTTGGAGTCAGACTCTTGCATTGTCACCCAGACTGGAGTGCGGTGATGCAATCTTGGCTCACTGAAACCTCCATCTCCTGGGTTCAAGCGATTCTCATGCCTCAGCCTCCCGAGTAGCTGGGATTACAGGCATGTACCACCATGCCTGGCTAATTTTTGTATTTTTAGTAGAGAGGAGATTTCACCATGTAGGCCAGGCTGGTCTCGAACTCCTGACCTCAGGCAATCAATCCACCAGCCTCAGCCTCCCGAAGTGCTGGGATTACAGGCATGAGTCACCACACCCAGCCACAAAATACGTGTTAATATGCACACAGAAAATAAAAGGATACTGCATAGTGCAGCACATCCATGTGAACTTTTAAACCTCTCCTTTCCTTGAATGTTTAATCTGTGATGAGGCTGACATCCTCCAAAACACCAGGAAGGTACATTGAGATAAATACAGATGTGAATACTTCCTACTCTCTATTCTTGATTTTTAAATTTTCTTAAAAATTAAGGATGCTTTAAAATCATCTTAGTGGCTAAATTTAGACGATGGAGCATTATGAAATGATAATATGGCAGATTAAAAATTAAGTATTGTAGTTAAAAAAAATTAAGCATAGTGAGGCTATTACCACTTAAGGTATTTCCGTAGTCAAACGTTTTCATTAACAACCATAGAAGTGAATTGTAACTGATCTCTTCTACCAAAGTATTGTGTTGAACAATGATTACCAATGATTCAAAAGGTAGTAGGACATTATATGAAGTCAGCTACACTCATGCAACTTTTGAATGAAATGTACTTACCCCAAACAACTGAACCTCTATAAGACTTTAGGACTTGGAGCTGCCCAGTTACACGTTCTGCATCATAAAGAGTTAAATCAGCACAATCTAAGCATCGTTGTTCGCATGTTTGCCCTATATGATTTCTAATTATTTTTGTATGTAACTCTTATCCTCAACAAAACTACAGTTTATAAAAAGCAGGTCCCCTTTATATTTATTCTTACTAGCCTCCCATCTAATATTGCTTTCCTCATCCCACCCCCATGTTTTTCCACAACAGTTAGCAAAAGCTGGACATATGGTAGATGCTCAATATATTATGCACAATGTTATATATATTGTATTATGCTTTATGTAATGTATATGTAATGTATGCTATATTTAATACTATATTTCAAGTATTATGCTCAAAGTTATCTGTATTGGCTTAGGTAAAAATATTGGGACAACATAAACAGCAAATAGTTCTTGTAATGCAGCTTGCCTCTTAGCCCAATTACAATGCCTACTTATACCAGCACACTGGTCCTTGGCAAAC